TGAGGGGACCCGCCCACCCCGTCGTTAGCCTGAGCCCCCCCCTTCCCCTGGCGTTAGTCTGAGACCCAAGGCCGGCCTAGAATCTCCTGCGGGCCCCAGACTGGATTGGTCTTGGCTAGCTCCGAGGAAGAGCGCTCTTGGATTTCAGCCTTGCTTTCTCCTCGCCTTGAGGGCCCAGGTCCTCCGCCTACTCCTTGCAGGGATGGAATGGCCTTGACTGTCCTGTGCGGCAGAGCCCTGTGCGCAGCTGGCTGGAACCTGACAGGTACCGCCTTTCCCTCAGAAGCCCAGCCTGGTGCTGCTGTTCCCAGTGTTAGGAATCAGACATGACCTCGGGTACCATGGGCACCGGGACCCATAGCTTCCCTGGAGCATCACTTCAAACTCAGGACGTTCTGATGCCGATTTCATCATTTATGCTATTGGTACTATTTATTATTCCTTTACTTTTTGGAGCAAATTCCTTTTTAGAAAAGTTTTATCTTAAAAGCAAGCTTTGCATTATTTATACATTTGCAATGAGTGTAAAAATAAGCATTAAAAATCAAATTACTCCTATTGTAGTATATATGTACCAGTATTCCGGAGGATTGGCAGTAAACCTCACAAGTCCTAGATAAGTCGGCAGAGTATTTCAATGAATAGATACAAATTTTAATAATTGTAACAAGCTACAAAGATGCTTGCAGTTGCAAATACTGGAGAAAGCAGTTTTATTATTCTTTTCTAACTGATTTGATCTCTTTTTCATGGCTAACTGGTCAACTGAGTCCACTCCCATAATTTAAACTGACCCTTCAAATAACTCCAGCCCTTTGATGTATTAGTCAGCTTTCTCATTGCCAGATGCCTGCCTATCACCCACTACTAGAAGAAGGAGAGGCTTACTGTAATCAGGGTTTAGTCCATGGGCATCGGGAACATCTCGAAGAGTGCAGCCCAGCAAAGCTGCTTAATTCAGGTACTCTGGAAGTAGAGCAGGGGACAGCACTGTAGAGGAAGTGGCCCCCCAGGACACAGTCCTCAAGGCCACACTTCCATCACACCCAGAAATGTGCTCCATCAACCTGCTCATTTCCTGATACAATCAAGCTGGCATATCAGGATTAGTTTTCTGGTGTTCCTTATTTCCACTATTTCTTTCCAAGCTGGCAGCTGGGTGTGTGCAGAGGCCTGTGACTTTTGTGACTGCTTGCTTCCCCTGCATTAACACACAATCTATGAGCTGTGATGTTGACCTTCTACTCCTTCTGGTCAAAGCTGATTCTGTCCCTGAGTTGGGTCCAGAATGTTTACCTCTGCTCTCTGACCCTCTCCATGCTGGCACTGGGATCCTGGGCTTTCCCCCTCTCCTGGTCCTGGTAGCAGCTGGGAAAGCTGGGAAAGCAAGTCCTCACTTCCTTCCAGGCAGGCAGGCTTCCTTGCATCAGGCTCTGTCCAAGTTACTTGGTTCAGCTCTGGATAAGCTAATGGCGGAGTTTTACTAAAGAATTCCAGTTTTCATAAAGAATCTGAGGTTGCTTCTTCTCTCATGTCACATCTTTCCTGTGATGGTTATGAACAGCTCTGAGGCAAATAGATACTCCAGCAGAGTGAAGGGAGATTGGGTAAGGAAAATGAAAAATAGAATTTGAATTAATACACATTTCAGAAATACTACATTACATGCTTTTGTCTTTTAATAGCTTAAGTGAAGTACACTAGTGACATTCATTTCAGTGGCTACTGAGATAACTTTTTTTGTAGAAAAAGCTGAAATAATAGTAATCATGGTATTATTCATGATACCTGTGGCCCATAAGTTATGTCTAGTGCATCTGATCTATGAGGATATATTTTTAAAATGGTATTTAGCAGTAGCAAAGATAGTTTAAGTCTGGGCATTTTTAAATATAGTGTCCAATCTAAGAGTAGAATATTATTTGGAAGCAAGAGTTCTGTGTTTGTGAGCAGCCTGATACTTCTGCTCTGACCCAGTTCCCCACACCTGTGCAGGATGGAGCCCTCCCTCTCCACCAGCAATGCTCTGAAGAAGTTCACTGTGGAACTGCACTGCAGAGGCCACAATCCGGGGATCCAGGGTTTCCTGTGTTCTCAGCTGGGCATGACTGCCCTATTAGCAGTCGGCAATGTATAGACACAGGTTGACTTTCTGGACTGGAAAACTACTGGTCATCTCTGGGGCAGAGGTCAGGGCACAGGGCAGCCCATGGCAGGGACAGTGCTGGCCCTGCAAAGTGTAGAGCAAGGACACCGAAGAAATGCCAGAGGCTTAAAAAGACAGAGTCACTCCTGTGGCTCTCAGTGTTCAGTCTGTCTCAGTTCAGTTCTCTGATCTCTGTTCAGTGCTCATGGACCCTTGTAAGTAGAGACTTTTGTACCTCCATGAAATGAGAATTGCCTGAGTATGCTCCAGTGACTGCTAGTGGCGTGCTGAGGGCCACGTTCCCGTTCAAGTTCTCCTTCCTGAGCACTGTCCCAGTGTGAGGACCAGGAAGTGTTCAGAGAGACCTGGGAGAGACCTGGGGATGTTTTTTGCAAATATAAGTCCTAAGAGATGCTAGAAAACCTGACAGTTCTTACTGAAATTTATCACCATTATTGATTATTGAGATTTAACTATCACAGGTTTTACATGAGTGAAACAATTTGCAAAATGCCTGCCATCCTTTCTGAAACTTTCCAACGCTTCTAATAGACCTGTGGAATATCAAAGGTAAATGATGTCTTTCTGAGTTTCAATCACTGTTTTTAGGAGTGAAGGAAGGGAGACCCAAACAATACCATTCAGTTCATTACTAAAGACTGATAAGCTACCATCTGCCAGGGTATAGCTGAGTTTATGTCCATATTTATTCAATGGTCAGTTAAGCTCAAAGAAGAGTGCATTCTTATTCAACTTTTATTTTAAAAATTGTAAGAACTGCAGATTCACATCAAGCTGTAGCGAGGGGTTCCATGTCCCTTCCCTGGCTGGAATACTCATTCTAGGAGGACAGGTTGTCCTGTTAATCTTGCTTGGGGAGCTTCTTGGCTTTTAGAATGCAGATCGCAAAGGCCCAAAGGGAAGAACACACTAGAATCTAT